TTCTTATTAGAGTTTTCTGTCAAACGGCACATAAAAAGGGCACTTAGCAACCTACAAATTCATGGGTCTTTTGGTTTTCTGAGAGTGCCAAGCTCTGAGCTGTTTACATAGTGTCTGCCCGCCCCCAGGAGCTTAGCCACACTTGCTGGATTTCCTGTAGTACTGTTACTGTCACATGAGGGAATGGCAGTGGGACTCTCTCTGGAGTGCCTTTGCTTACAGATGCTAGCTTAGTAATGAGACACTCGCCAAAGGAGTGATGGGCGTGCGGTCATGTGGTCTATGGGAGGCTGTGCCATATGGAAGGGATATCATCCTGAGTGACGGCAGGAACCTGTGATTAGGTGACACCAAAAGAAAAAAGAAGGCAAACCGAGGGCAGAGAGCATGAGGATTAATTCACCTCCCTGTGTATTTTCTCCATGTTTGCATCTGCGCTGTGCCTTCATGTTCTTGGTTAGTAGTAGACCAATTTCTTCTCATAGCACCTTGGCATCAAAGGAAGAGCTCATTGAATAGTCTGGCTTCTGGATCTTTTCTGGTATGGTTGGCACCGGCCTGCTAAGAGTTGATTGTGCTTCACCTGACTTTCCATCACATTGCATTGAATATTGGGCTGTCTGGCTGCTGGCAACTGTTTGCTTCTAAAATCGGGACAGCTGAGCCACCTCAACAGAGGCCCTTTCCTGTTTTCAGTTTCAAAACAGAATGAAAGCAGCTGGAGGTGTTAACATTGGGTATGTAGGCCGTTTCCCCACATTTCGTAAGCTAGATAGGGACTGCACATCTCTGTTCTATTCCATATACTCACCCCATTCCTTCTAGAACAGCCTTGGGTGTTCGCCAGCTTCCTCCTCACCTTCACCTTCACCTTCCCCTCGTCGCCACGGACAATTGGACGACATCCCCCTCTCCTTCCGCCCCTCAGCTGGCGCTATGATTGATGCATATTCAGCAGGGGATGTTTCCTTTTCTCCTTATTTGTATTTCCTTCCCTTACTCCTGGTGATGTGTCTTTCCCCATAGGTCAGTATAGCATTGTTCTCCACTTTTATTATGTGTGTCAGTTCATTACCATGGACCTTTTGTGGTTGTCTCACATTTGTTTTTTTCTGTCGCACCTGGTTATTCAGTCTGGTCTTAGCTGGTATGTTGGTGTTTTCCGAGGAACAATGCACCGGCTGCTTGGGGTATTCTTGAAAGCCCCTATGCCATTGAAGGTTGCTTGATCTGGAGAAAGGTCCCAAGTAGATACGCGTTGATTTTGCCATCTGGGTGAAAGGTCCTAGGCATGTGCATGCTAGCTTTGCCTTCATTCGGCATGCAGGATGTGGCCTGTAAGTTCCTTGTGTTACAACAAAACTGCCAATGTTAATCTACTGTAACTTCTTGTATTAAACATCTCATCAAAGCAAGAAGGAAATAATAAATGTATTTATCCCTATGCAAGCAAGCAGGCTAGACGTATAGGCTACATGCCCCCCTTTGATGGGGTGTAATGTAAAATTAATCCCGTCATGTTGGTATGGATCTCAATGGTCAGATGTTTGTAGGGATGGTTTCAGCGCTATGTCCCCCACTTAGGGGGGAGGAGGAGAATGGTAAAGATGATCCTGCCTTTGATATCCTGCTGGGACGTACACCATATCTATATGCTTTCTAGATATATCACACGCATGTGCTGTTATCAATGTGTGATGTTTGGTGCCCATCTAGACCTTTGTTTATGCCTCTTAGATTTGTATCCCACTAAAAAAATCTCAATAATCCCTGATTTATGGCCCTTTTAATAGAGAGTCCACACCAGGGATTGTTAAAGGCTCATTACTGGGGAATAGCCTGTGTTGCTTTATCCATATAATTGCTAATTTCTATGACGTGGGTCTTTTTATAAACTAACAGTGACTTGAACCGCAGCCCTAGGGAACTGGGGGAATTGTTTGGTTCCCCATAACGTAGGATACTGTGGAGTCAAACAGAAGTTTGGATTTGTGACAGGATGCTCCAAGGGACCATGATGATACCTACAATGGTATCTCTGTTGAATGCTGGCCACACAAGTTGGCCATACGTTACCATAGGTAACCAGAGTCTCCACCTGGCCTCCATTAGGCATGATGAGGGTGGTTACTTAGTCAGTTACTCCTCTCCCTGCAGGACACACAGAACAGCATCTGCCTCAAACTCATTACATCTGCAGAGGTATTTAACCTCTGCTTCCCACTCCCCCAAACTCAGGGCTCCATGGGGCTGTTAGTCTGCACAAAGCTTGTGTGGTTAGATACAGGTTGGACTTCGCTGGCCCAGCACCCTGGGGACCTGACTGGTCCCGAATGAGAGGATTTGCCAAACCAGGGACTGTCCCTCCTCTCCTGGCCTGTGGTGCCATCAGCTTCGGGCTCCAGCCTGCCCCCACTGCTGTCCCAGCCCGCTGGGGCTCTCCAGGTGCTGCCGGCCCTGCTTCTGGCTGGAGCTGCGTAGCCTCATGGTTCTGGGGCTGGGGCAGAGGTCAGCAGCCGAGGCTGGGGCTCCACAGGCGGGGGGAGAGCTCCCTGGCCACTACTGGTGCTGGAGCTCCCAATCGCTGCTGGGGTCAGAGCTTCCGCTGTGCCACCTCCTCCCACCCCCCACTGTGTTGCCACTACCCCCTGCCACACTCCTGCCCTGCCACCAGACCTCCCTTTTCCTGGGCTTTGTGGTCCAGGAGCATCCATGGTCCATGCCAGACACGGCGGTTGCCGGAGCAGGGAGTCCCGTGAAGGGACGTACAACCTGTGTCTAGGCTTCAAGACTGACCCTAACTTGCTGAAGCGAATGTCTTGCAGGAGGTGAGCCTGGAAGTCACTTGCATTACTGCTGTGTCCAATGCAAAGCAGGGTATAAAACAGCAGTGACGATCATGACGTGGAAATAGAGCAGCAGCAACTAACAAAGGCAGACTGGCCCTCCATGCTCCAGGGGAGGGCTTGTTGTAATGTGTTAACCGTGGGGCAATGCACAGTGGGGTGGGTCAGAGAACAGGTTGCTACAGAAATGTGGTGTCTCCTAACCAAGAAGGTCAATTATTTGAAGGGAGTGAGCAGTAGGAAATGAGCAAGTTTATAAAATACCTTATGGGACAACCGATCATTTGTCAGTTTATTTTGTTGCAATTTGTATCGAGCTCATGGGCCTCTAAGGAAAGTTATAAATCTGTCCAATCTGAGACCAGATCCTATGGGAATTTGGCCAGTTGAGTGACAAACCTGTAAGCCCCTGTCTCCCCAACTGGCAGAAATGTTGCTGGGGCAGGTGGCAGTGTAAACAGCTCGTCGGCAGGCGCGCTCCCATGACAGTGCAAACCCTGCTTCGTAGGGAGTGGGGGTATTTTGTCTGCTGACAAGCGGAGTTTGCACTGCCTGGCCTTTAGCGACTTGGCCGCATTGCTGGTAGCTGTGCCGTGTAGACAAAGCCTGAGTGTGCTGAGGAGAGGAGGGGGCCGATCCGTTCTCTCAGCAGGGCGTTCCTCCCGAGTTTTCTCTCAATGAGGGACGTGGGAAGCTGGGATGCTGGTCGTGTGACTCGTTCGGAAATTCGCCTGGTGAGTATCTGAATTGCCTTAGTCTTTGCCCCGATCCAAGGTGGTGCTTTACGCTGGCTCTCGGTTTTGGCATAGTGCTTTCATGAGGTGAGAGAGTAACCCTCCTCCGGTTCTCTTGATGAGTCAGACTGAAGAGTGCTGCTCGGAGCACTCTGCAGAGGGTCTCGCTCTATCACACAGCACATCTCGTCCCTCGTTGTCCAGGCCCCTCCCTGTTCCTTTGTGCTGTCGTATTGACTGAGCTGTTTAACACTGGAAAGCCAGCTGGAGCTTGTGTGGAGTTTCCTGTTGGTATGAAGTAGAGGCTGCTGGTAATGATGCAGAGCAGGACATCTTAATGGGGTTTTCAGTAACTCTTGCGTGGGAGACAAATGAGGAGTTAGGGGTTAGATACCAGCAGGCAGAGAACTGGGTGTCAGCCTGTTATGAGGGGCATGTCTTTCAGCGTAGTTGGGTTTCTTTTTGTGTTGAGATGTAACAAAAGCAGGGATGGACTCACCAGTATTCTTTCCGTATCTAGTTTAGAACTTGGTTATTATGTCTTGGCTGTAGAAGGCACTCACTCCCTAGATAAAATGTTCTTTGTATCACACGCTGGATGGTTACAGTGGCAGAGGGAAGAAGCGTGGCTCAGTGTTGGTGCAAAAGGATGTAAATATTGGCCTCACTGATTCTCCTGCGATTTTCCTGAGCAGTGTGGTGGCTGCTGCCATTGCCTGAACATTTTGTGTTTCTGTCAGAGGTAATGTTCCTGCAGTGCCATGCTCATCGCTGTCCACGGGTTTGTCATACCTGTGACTCTCCGAACAAGATTAAAAAATGAACGCACACAAATCCCCTCAACACAGTAATCACAGGAAGAACATCCAGAATCTCTGACGCCAAAGCTAGGACCGGAGCCCTTCTCTGAAATGCTTGTGAGCAGCAGGAGTGCTCTGGGTAGTGTCATGCCCCCTTGCCTTCCAGAATGCTCGTAGTCTGTACGCAGTGCTTCGGGCAGGGCCCAGGGCCAAACTCGCCGGTGTGTAACCCGGGGGAGGGTGTCACACCACAAGGCACCATCAGCAGTGTTGTTAAAATAGGAAAGCTGCTTAAATCTATGTTTAAAAAATCTGGGGGTGTGATGTGTATATTTATCTGTGATTTGGGGTGATAAATGGCATGGCCAGAGCCTTGTGCAGATACAAAACTGGTACCCACATCTGCAGAGACCATCCACAAATATCCGTGCATGCCAAAGCCAGTGGAGATAAAGCAGATATCCTCATATTCGCAGGGTTCCAGATACAAAATTGGAATCTGCACCCATGCTCCCCCCAAATGAGCTGTGGATGTACATGGATTTGCTGGGCTCTAACCATGGTCTAATTTTCCTCTCTTGAACTTGAGTTTGATCCATTTTCTCCTTCTCTGTTTGTAGAAGTGAGTCTGCATCGCTGATGCTGGATGTCCGGGCCAGTTGCTTCAGACAGAGGAGGACTGGCGCTGCTTTGGAATATGGTGCCTAACTTCTGCATGCCAGTCGCCATTGTGCCGGCAGTGGTTCTGTGCTGCTTGATCGTTTTGGCGGCAGCAGACAGTAAGTAACATTTAAACTGTAATGCAAAAACTTGACATGTTTTCTTCCATCAATAGTCACCCTCTTGGCCAAGGCATAATGGTCTCACGTGGCCAGTGTGGTTAAACAGCACATGCCGGGGAGCTTGTCCTGTTCTGTCACTTGGAAAAACAAAGTGTCGATAAGAGCGATGTGGTTTTTGGGGAGCAATCTGTCCAGTGACTGTGAGTTTTCTCAGTTATAGAGGACTAAACAAAACGTTTGTCCTGGCGACGGAGGTGCTGTAAGTAGGACACAGGGAATTTCCCCTTTATTTTCCCCAAACTTTTATTCATTCCATTAATCCTGAGAACACCACGCTGCTGCTGAAGTCTGCCAGTCAGGTGGCTGGTACTGGAGAGGTTTCAGAGAAGACCCATGAAAAGGATTGGAGAGCCCTCCTTACGACGAGGGTCAAAGGGGAGCCATCTTCTTAACTTAACAGACGAGAGAGTACGAGGTGGGTTGGTCGCAGTTCGTAAGTGCGTGCAAGGGGGTAGAAATGGAGCATTGGGCTCCTCAGTGCCGCAGGGAGAGGTCCAATATGATCAGAAGCTGGAAGTGGAAGATTCAGAGAGGGAAAAGGTGCAAATGTTTGTCAGTGGGGATAATTGTACAGTGGAGCCATGTCCCAAGGGTTGTGGTGGATTTTCCAGCACTGACAATCTGCAAACCAAGACTGGAGTTTTTTAAAGATCTGCTCTACTTCAGAAGGGATTTGGGGGGCAGATCTCCAGCCTGTGTCGCAGTGGGGCGGGGCTGGCAGAGGGTGTCAGGATAGATGATGACAGTGGTCCCTTCTGGCCTTGGGATCTTTGAATGGGTGGGAGCTGCTGGGGAGTGGTGCGGAGGCCCTGCAGTAGCTCTCCTAGGTTTGCATTGCACAGCGCGATGGTGGAATATTTCAGTAGCGCCACCGTGTTTGTAACCTGTGCCCACCAGCACCCTGCTTGCTGTGTTCTGGAGCCACCATCCCCGCGTGATTGGCCCCATCCGGAAGGAACAAAAAGGGGCGGAGCAACTTGGCTAACTAGGCCCCTGGGAATTCATTGCGGGAGTGCTTGCACGAAGGCGCTAGTGCAATGCAGAAAAGCCCCACAGGCTCGTTTTTCAGCCTGGAGTTCATCACTCAGCTTGGGCGGCTGTCCGAGGCCGTCAGGCCTAGATGTACTTGTGGGGCCAATCGGAAGGCAGCGCCCTCCGTATCATGACACAGTTTCCCTTCTTCTTAGTCTCCCTGGACACAGGGCAGCTGCCAAGTCACTACCTCCCTGTCCGCTGCTTATTTTGGAGTGGGGTGACTTTCAAGCCTGCTGGTCTGAGCCTGCACGTGGGGCAGAAAGAAGTCGGAGCCCGGCTAATTGAAGAGTTCAGTCTCTGGTAGAGCTGTCTGGCGCCTGCGCTGGCTGGGAGAGGGGATGGGGAATAGGAATAGTGCTCTGGCTGGCAGCTGGATCCTGTCTCTCTGCATCGCTCCGGGCTGCCACTCACATCTGCCAGAGGCTTCCTTTTGTTCTGAAAGGCTTCGCACCCAGGAATCTCACTGAAATCAATGGGGACTGAGCCCTGTGAGGAAGTCAGCGTGCAGACAGAGTCTCAGCTTTCCATGCAAACTAAAAAGCCATGTTTGGAGCTGGATGGCTGTGATGCTCTGCCAGCGTAGCTAGTTACAGAGATAGCGGCTTCTCACCCCGCTTCCACCCTGTCCCTTCAGTTTGCAATTGAGCTACAAATGTAGAAACCTCAGAGGAAGCCCTGGTAGGTCTTGGTGAGAGCCTGGGCGTGAGGCAGGAGGGAAAGCATGCAGAGCTATTTGGCCTGAGCAAAGAGGGGCAGTGAGGTGATGGAGCAGGAGGGAAAATAGGAGGAAAGTTGAGAAATTGATTTGCCAACAATAGCCCTTCCCCGAGGAAGCTGGGGATGGTCATTTTGCCACAGCTCCCCTGGCTGCTGTTGGCAGCAGACATTTAAACGCACCATCTTAGTCTTCGCCTGCTGTGGAGTCGAGAGAGAACAAGCGGGCATGTGCAGACTTTGTCCTCGTGGAGAATTGGCCCTGCTCTTCCAGGAAGAATAAAGCGCCGGGTTCCAGCAAGTACAGAACCAGGAGGTGAGGGGGGATCTTAGGACCTGTCCGAGTTTCGCAGGGGTGAAAGTGGGCTGGACCAGGCCGGTAGGGCACACTGGCAAGATCCAGCCACCGGTACAGGCCCGTCTGCAGCTGACCTTAAAGCACTGCTCCCTTGTTGGCTGCCCTTCTGGTTGGGAGCAAAAGGGGCAGCTGCCCTGGGGCCCGGTGATTTAAAAGGGCCCTAGAGCTCCCAGCTACAGCTACTGCAGTCCCCGTTTGTGGCTCTAACCGCCAATTTGCCTTTTATTCCACCCCCTTGCTCTCGTTTGAATGGCGGGGTGACACTGTTCAGAACAAATTGGTCTGGCTCACAGCATCTGAGGGTCAGAAAGGAAGGAAGCGAAAAGGCGACACTTTCCTGTCCACAGAGCAGGCAGCTTTGGGAGCAGTTAGGTTTCCAGAGAAGGGGAGTGCGTTATCTGGCGATGGACATGGACCTGCCGCTGAGGCTGAGCGCATTGACTGTGCAATGCTGTGCAGTACCTTGTTGTGAAGGACAGGGCCGGAGCGTGAGGTGAGGTGTGAGCGCCCCTGCCGTAGCCTGATGCCTAGGTCGGTGAGAAGTAACATTGGGGGCATCGTGGCTGTTCCGTCTCCATTTGGGAGGGCGTGAGAGAGGTGTCAGAATCCATTAATCTCTGGGGAGGCCCGAGGCGAGATGACCGAGCAGGGAGATGGGATCCCTGCTCTTGGCTTGTGAAATTCATGTTGATAGAAAAGGTCGGTAACTGAGGGCAAAGTGGCGGTGCGCATGGTTTGCTGTGTCGGGTCTCTGGCTGCGGCCTGGGCTTGCTCGCTTCCCAACTCTGTTGTCACAGTAGATTGTTGGGCTGCGCCTGCCGCTTTCTGACAATTAGGCAACTGTCACATGGCGCGCCGCTGACGGGTGAGATGAAACAGGCTGGCTGTGTATTGCAGGGAGGAATTAGAGCGGGGAATTGACTCTTTTGGCTTCCCTGGCATTGAGTTCCCCAAAGCCTCACACACCGGCAAGGGAAGCGCCCCAGAATTGGGGGCAGTGCAAAGATGGAACGTTTCAGAAACATGGGAATCGTGAGGCCGGCACTGTAAGGGGAGCAAGGGTTCCAGCATCACCCCCATTTCTGGGGGCAAAGGAGGGTTAGATGCGTGAGATATGTACAGAGTGCTAGTTTGGCAGAACCCTCCTACGACTTTGACAGACTGCTGCGGAGAAATTATTAAATTTTCTCGGTGATCTGTCAGGGTGACCCTAATTCCATTAGAGCAGCCTGGAGCTGGTTCAGGATGATTGTTTTACACTTTCTCCCTCAGCTCTCTCCGGGTTTTCTTTTCTGCATGCTCTCTGCTTTCCCCCACTACCTCTCCACTGTTCAGGGGAAACTGGCTTTGGGATTTCATTGCACGTGCAGGTCAGCTGCCAAGGCAAAGGTGCTCTTTTCGGGCGCTTGGAATATGCTGCTTGCTGCACTAAAAATCGTTTCAGCCAAAATGTGTGGAGTCCAGGGAAAAAATCAATCCTCTGTGCAGTGGCCAGCATTGCTCTTTCTTTAAATTCGCTTTGTGTTTGACCTCCTGGGCATGGCTTCCATTAACTGAGGGGCAGGCCCAGGGCCCAACAGAGGTCTTCTCTAGCCCCGTGGAGCTTGGATTAGCTCAGGTACAATGTCAAAGGATTTAAAGAAGGAGGCTTCTTCAAAAGTGACCTTGTGGGGTGGAAAAGCTAAGGCAGGGCACATGTCAACTGAGGCATGAGCCTGATACGTGGCCAATAGCCAATCAGCTGCTTTGATTTCTAAATACATTGTTTATGGAAAGGAATGGGCAGTTGGCCAGTAGTGAGTTTGTGCCAGCCGTGGCCCAGCATTGACCTCACACTAGTGATGTCTAAGCACAGATTGAGAAAATAAGCGCTGACTTGCTTTGTCAACAGGCCCCGTCCCTGTCAGGGTGCGTCTGTCTGACAATGGAAGGACACACATGTCAAATGTAGACTTTTACCAATGGCCACGTTTTTTGGATCCTAATTTGCATCAAGAGCAAGAGACCAAAGATTATGGGAAGATGTTAAAGAATTATTAGTGCATCGAAAGCCTAAGAGAGTCCCCGGGCACTGACTACCCCGGAGGAACAGCTGTCTCCTCATGGAGAGAGAGGCACTTGCAGAGCCAAATGGAGAGATCTGCAGATGAATTTCTATGTCTGAGATTGTCCTTTACCTCTTTCTGCTTCTTTAGTCCGGGTTTTTCATGATGTCCCTGAAATGATGTGTGTGTGTTTTGTGTGCTTCCCTATGATCCAGGTGCCAGTGTGTTTTGTATTGCAAGTAGCTAAGTAAACATTCAAGTGCTGTTTCTACAGCTATCAGCTGTGTTATCTTTGGGTAGCTCAACGATTGTCACCAATACAGATTGGAAGTAAATACTAAACTGTTCTAAGGGACTAAAGAGTCTCTGAGTTGCACCAAAGGCAGTGTGACCTGGGGCTTTTGGAGGTAAGTCACCATGTAGCTGTCCAGTTCTGATCTCTCTTCCTGGTAAACAGAGAGTTAAAAAGAAATGAAAATTCTCCCCCGAGCCTCAAAAATGAAACGGAAGCCTCGCCCGCGTGTCCCTCCTGGACTAGTGCCCGTGAGAGCCTCTCATAGCCCTGAGAAGACCAACGAGCTCTTGAGACTGGGCAGCCATTGATAATCAAGCCCCTTATTGCTCTATCATGGACGGAATCTCCTGTGACAGCTTGTTTGGTGGCTACCATGGCTTCTGACGCAGCCAGCCACAGTTCAGTGAATCTCAGCTCTTCAGCCAATTGTCAAGCCCCTTTCATCCTGGTTTGTCAAACCTTCAGCCTCAGGGTCCTCCTGTAGATGCACATGTTCATGTGGTGCTCACAAGAGAGCCAACCCAGGCATTAAGAATGCCAAAACCAGGTTGAAAGCTGATCCTTCTTTTGGTCTTCACAGTGCATCTCTTTCTGAGACCCCAGGCTCCTTGGGTGGGGCTCTCTATATTTTGTGGGCTGTACCGTGCTGAGCACACCAGCAGCAATTACATAATAATAATAAGGGTACAGTGGTTTCATTGATGAATGTGCTACAAGATGTGTCCCTACCCTGCGTGGTCAGGGAAAGGAATGCAGGCTTTAGTCCTCATCAGCCTGCTCCTTGTGGCCGAAATGTGCAGCATTCTTGTATTGCTTGTCCAGGTCGGTTTATGGCGACTCGTCTAGCTAGAATTGCTTCCTGCCTTTGCAAGCAGTTTGCTCTCCCAAAATCCTGGTATTGGTCACTCGGCATATAGAGATGTGCTGAGCCAGAGTTAATCTGCTATATATTTTTAGGGGGTCAGTTGTGTCCTCGTTGGCTGGGCTTAAGGGATGTAAGTAAAGCTTCTCTTTCAGAAATGTTATCTTTAGCATAGAGTCAGACATTTTGAGCCCCAACGGGGCGATTGTGGTCCTCTAGCCTGGTCTCCTGCATAGCACAGGCCATATAATTTCACCCAATAACTTCCATGTCTACTTTCACCATTTGGGGTTGAGCTAGATGCCTTTAGAAAGATGTTCACTCTTGCTTTAAAAGTTCCAAGTGGTGAAAAATGCACCAGTGTCCCTTGGTCTGTTACGATGGTTAATTACACTTCCTATTAAAAATTGCATCTTATTCCCTATACGATCATTTTCAATGTTTGTCTTTTAGCCACTGGCTTTTGCAACTCCTTTGTCTGCCAGATTGTATCAGTATCTAGTATCAAGCATCTTCTGCTTGTGAGGGTACTTCGTAGGGATAAGGTGGATGAAGTAATCCCTCTTATTGGACCAGCTTTGGGGCTTGCTTAGAGCTGGGGAACATTCTGAGTGTCAGAGCTAACGATGAGGTAGAACAGAGAGTTGAGCATTAGGAGAAGTACTGTTCAAGGTGAAGGGTTAGTGAACATCCCTTCAGTCCCGGTGGGAGGTAGGTGGGGAGGTTGTTAGTGGTTATGGATTGTTGTAACAAGCCTTAGATCCAGCGTATCTGCTCTTTCTAATGTCCGGAGACACACACGGCGACAGCTCTGCACACAAGGTACTTTGTAGACTGTTGTCAAGTCGTCTCTTTTTCACCTTCTTTTCTATAAAATAGGTAGAGCAAGCTGCTTCCCTTTCTCGTGTCAAGGGCAGGACATTCTCGTGGCTCCTCAGAACTGCACCAATTTTCCAGTACGTTTTTTCTAAAGTGTGAACCCCAGAACTGGAGACCCTATTCCCAGAGTAGTCGCAGACATGCCATGTAGAGAGACAGTATCACCACTCGCATTGGGCGTTCTGTTCGTACTTCCTGGTGTTACAGTAGCTCTTTTTGCCATTGGATCACAGTAAGGGTTCATGTTCAGTTGATTATCTACAACCGTGGTGCCCAAACGGCTCTGAAGCAGTAGCCACTACTAGCGAGCTAGCCACACTCAACCAGCTAAATACCCACATGTGTCTAGTGGCTGGCGTGTTGGACCCCACGGCTCTATAAAGTCCTTTTTTGGGCCATTGCTTTCCTGTGTGCAGCCTCTGATGCTTTGAGTATGACTCCTGCTTGTTCATATGGACTCCTGCTTGTTCATATGGACTCCTGCTTGTGTGAGCTTGCATTTGTCTCAATTCACGTGCATGTTGTTTGTGCCCAACTTACCAACAGACTCAGAGCTCACTGTAGCAGAGATCTGCCGTGGCAATTATTTATCACTTCACAAGTGCTTCCTCAGCTAGCTAGACACTGCTGTCATTTGTCCAGCAGCAGAAAGTGAGACGTGTGTTTGTAATTGTATGGGCAGCTGAGTATTTTTTAGAAGGAAATACTAGAGGAATTCTCTAAAGCCAAGATGGCAGGTTTGGGGCAGCCCACACCCCATTACTTTTAGTAAATGTCATAGGTCACAGGCTTCCGTGGATTTGTGTGCCTTGTCCGCAAGCTACCCCTGACTTTTACTAAATCACACCATGACAAAATCTGAACCTTGGTCATGCCTGTTCTTCAGGGTACTTCAGACTCTCCCAGGAGGGTCTGTTTGAAAGCAGGGGAACATCAGAGGAGACCTTGGCATTGAGGCCGCTTGTAACTGACCCATTCCTCTGTTTGGATGTGTCTCTTGGTGCCCAGCAAGGACGGATTGTGTGAAGTCTGATTAGTTTGTTCAAATGTTGTTGTCTTGTTGCCAGTCCTTTCAGTGCCAGTTTAGCGCTAAGTCTCTGTGTCTGTAACGGAGCTGAGGAATTAGATGCCACCTGCAATTGTTCTGTCTGGTTTTGAAATGGGAGTGTTCTCTGAAATGCTCCCAGTTCCACGCACAGCACTGCAGGGGCTCTATGAGTGGCTGAGATGATGGTGTAGGGAGGAGGGGTTTAGATTTACTAGGAACTGCAGACATTTTGGGGAATGGGGGAGCTTGTCCAGGAAGAGTGGGCTCCACCCCAGAATGGACCTTAACATTATAAAGGTCATACATCAGTTTTTAAATAAAGGAACTAAGGGCTGGGAGAAAGTTGACAGGTGCAGAGGAGCATTTGGATCAGACAGGAACATCCCTTGTGGGGCAGGAGTCTATTAATAGAGAAACTCTCAGTCCTAGTAAAGAGGAGAGGAGGAAAGACGGGTAAGACCTGAAGAGGAACAGCCCAATGGAAAAGAGTTCCATTTAATCATATCAGGAAATAACAGGCAGCTAAACAGTGACAAGGTTTTAGTGCTCATATGCAAACACTACAAGTCTGAATATTAAGGTGGGTGATCTCACGTGCCCCGTTCTGACTGAGGATATTGGTATAACAGGCATCACAGAAACTCGGTGGAATGTGGATAATCGGTGGGACGCAGTCATGCCAGGGTACAGAATCTACCGGAAGAGCAGAACAGGTCATGCTGGTGGAGGATCAGCACAACATGTGACAGAAGTATAGAATCAAATGAAGTAAAAATCTTAAATGAACCAAACTGTTCCCTAGAATCTTTGTGGCTAATAATTCCATGCTCGAGTAATAAGAATATAGCAGTAGATATATATTACAGACCAACTGACCAGGCTGCTGATACTAACTCTGAAATGCTAAAGGAGATTAGAGATG